ACAGCACTAGCAGCTTTGGGGACAAGATAATGTCACGCTGTTGCTGTGTGAAAACCCAAGGGTGCAGGGCGTTGTTCACACTTGACTTATGATGCAGCAGGGCTTTGCTGATGCTGGTGTCACTGCTGTTTCTTCTTCCTGCTCCCAGTGAGATCTGGAGAAGGGTACTGGAATCAAGTTCTCATTTCTCAGTCTGTATCTACTTGGGTTAAGCACAAGAATAAAAAGGAGGAATCCATCAGATGATCTGGTCGCTCCACCAGTGCCTATTTTATTTCTGTGATCCCATGGTTCATGAGGCCAGCTCTTAAGTGTGGGACCAAAACAGTACAGGGCTGTACAGGAAAGTGGTACCCATATTTTTAAAGCACTTGCTGTCTTCTTGCATAGCTGGCTCTTCTTCTGTTCACAGCTTTGCTGTGGCAGCCAGAGTTATGGAAGGGGAGGAAATGCAGCTTTACATTCATGCCCATGCCACAGCAGAGCAAAGGCCGTATGAGAACTGGAAGCAGTAATGCTGAAAATGTCAAGGAGCAGGGTCTGCTCGTAATCCTTGTGTTCTTATGTGCTGGGTCCTCTTCATTCATTCCTGTGTAGTGTTGAGCATGCTTTGTTCCTTCTGGTAAAGCAAGTGAGAAAGGGATTTTTTTATGACCTCTACAGAAAATAAACTTGATGTGATTTTTTTCACGTTTTAGTCTGATGAGGAAGGTGGCAAGGAGAGAGAAGGTGAAGACGGCCAACAGAAATTTATTGCACACGTTCCAGTGCCAACTCAACAGGAGGTAAGGCATTACAGCACTCAGCTACAGAGATGCACACTGGCTTTTGCAAGACACATCTTAATTTACATCAGGTCATCAGTAAAAGTACCCTAAATGTGTGATTTCTGTGACTTGACCCTGCAGCTTTTTAATCCTCTTGCAAATGCTATAACCCTTTTCACCTGTGAATTCCCAAAATCTTCCTAAGTATTCCATAAATTAGGAAGTGTTGTGGTATAGCTGATTATCTGAGGTTTCAGCATCTCAGCTGAGCTGAATCCACCCTGTTGTATCTCTGCAGATTGAGGAAGCTCTTGTACGAAGAAAGAAGATGGAGCTGCTCCAGAAGTACGCCAGTGAAACCCTCCTGGCACAGAGCGAGGAGGCAAAGACACTGCTAGGATTGTAACAGTGCACCCGTGTCCTGGTTTGTGTGTGCTCCCTCTGAAAGCAGCAGGTTCCTCAGTTCTGGTAGCAGTGGGTTTTAGCTCTGGAAGTTGCTTTGGATGTTAAGCAGACTGCTGCAATTACAGTGTGCTGTGCAGAAGGAGAGCATCATTCTGGTTTCTCCACTAGGATGACTTGTACTCCAGTGCTGGAAAAGGTCAAACCTTGGTGGACTTGCCTGTACATCTAACAGCTGTCTTCAGTGCTTTCAGTTTGGGAAGGGGTCTGTGCACTGGGGCCTCTTACAGATAGAACCACACCCTAAATCCTGGTGTTCCTGCCATCCTGTCTGCTCTGTCCTGACTGTAAATGTGCACAGCTTCTCATGCTGGGTATTGCTGAGCTGAGGAGTAACTCACACTATTACCCTGCTTAGTTTAGGCAGATCTTAGGAGTGACTTTGGAGGAGATTCGATTCTTTCTGAAACACATGCAGCATCTAAAACCTGTTACCTTTTTTGTGGTCTGTAACTGTGCCTGGATGAATTGCTTAAATGCTGGATATTCCAGCAGCTACTGTAAAAATTTTGCAATACCATGTTCAAATATTTTTATTAAAACTTATTTACAACCTGATGTCTGTTTTATTCTAGCTCAAAGGATTGTGATGATTCCTTAATGGTAGCCAAAGGGATGTTGAAGCTCTGCATCCCCTACTGCTTTTGGCTCGAGAATCCTGGGACAGGGGGCAAGGTAGAGCCTAGTCAAAGTCTTATGGATGACTAATATTGTTGTACAGGTCTGAGTGAATGGCATTTGAAGGTGGACATCTGCAGCCATGCAGAATCTCTGTCTAAGGAGCAGAGTATTGAACAGCCACCTCTGGGACTGGTCAGCATTTCTGGATGCTCTCAGTATTTATCTATTGCAATCTGTTGTGAATAATCCACTCCAGAACAATCAAAGCTCTAAATTATAGACACAAGCTTTGTGTTACTTGATGAAATGATCAAGCAAACAAACAAAAAAAAACCAACTAAAACAAAAAAACCCCCAAAACAAATAGAATTGAAAAAGTGGAAAGCATAGCTGCCAAATTAAAACCTAAAAAAACCCAGAATAAATCAAAAGCTTGATTATTGGTAGCAAGCAGACAACTAATATCACAAACTAATTCTCTCTTCCTGGCAGCAGTGCGACTTTCTCTGCTTTGTAAGAAAGCAGCAAACAATGTCTATGGCTTAAATTTGTTGTAGATTAGCTTAACTATATACTGGAGATAACCAAACTAGATTTAAGCAGGGGAAAATCCAGCTAATTCTTACAGCCTGATACAATCTGAGGGCTTGGTAATACCAGTGGTAGATCCCTCTGTCACTCTGAATCTATAAAAGAGCACACAAGGGTAAAGGCAGATCAGGGACAGAGTGATGATAAGAGAAATACAAAAGCAGAATAAATTGAAAGAATGAGAAAAAAAAAAAAACAGGATTGTAATTGCATTCATGTTCAAAGGAGTATGACCAACATTATGATGTAAAAGGCAAGTTTATAAGACAGGACTGGTCTCTGCCATCCAACACAGAAAAGGAGTAAATGCACAAAACTGCAGTGTGTAACTGCAAGGCAAACTGGCTGCTGCCTGGCCCTGCTGTGCTGGGTCCTCTCTCTGTAGCTCTGTGTAAAGCATTTTTGAGCTGAATGCTCTTGGCTGCATCTGAGGGAGCAAACTGCAGAGTAATTATCTCCCACAATGGCCTATAGCGAAATGCCTGTGTCCTGACAGGCTGTGCAATTGCTGCTGGAGTCAGGGTGGGGAAACTGCTGTGGTCACAGCCAGGAAATGGATCCTGTTTGTCCTGGAGAATGGAGCAGTGGGCAGGCTCTGCCTCAGCTCTGCGGGTGCAGCTGTGCTGGGATGTGTGTGTGGTGCCAGGCTTATGGCTCATACCATCTCTGGAGTGCCTCAGCCCTGAACACATCCAGGTTATAAAGCAAGTACTTTCTGTATTCCTACATGCCTGCTTCAGAGTTCTGCCCTGTGTGTGGTCCTGGCTTAAGCTCTAATTGTTCTGTCTGATGTATCGATTTGGGTCTGCTTTTGTCTCTTAGAAATGCATTTGTGTGTTTCATTTAATGCCAGCCAGTCAGTGGTGCAGATGGAAGGCCACCTTCCCTGTTCTGTGTCTTGGTGAGTGCAGTGCAGTTGCTGAAGGATCAGTTTCTCCTCGCAGTCAGAGGGGTGCTGAGGAATATTTGTTGGCAGCACTAGGAAAAAGGTGCATTAGCAGATGAGCAAGATAAACAGAGACAGCTTTGCAGAGTGTCCATTAGCGACATTTTGTGCTGCTTGTCTCACTTTCAGTCTAGCTGCAGGGGTGCAGAGCTGAGGCACTATGGTGTTTGTGCATGTTAGGCTTTTTCCCAAAAGATGAACCACAGAATGGGTCAGGCTGGAAGGGACCACTGCGGGGCATCTGGTCCAACCTCCCTGCTCCAGCAGGGCCATTCCAGAGCACAGGGCACAGGATTTGTCAGACATTTCGGGGGTAGCTCCGGTGCGACAGCTCCACACCCTCTCTGGACAATCTGCTCCAGTGCTCAGTTGCTGCACAGGGAAGAAATTCTTCCGGAGCATCAGATCCTGCTCGTTCCTCGTGTCCAAATGTCTGGCACCACCAAGCAGGGCCTGCTCCATCCTCTTGGCTTCCCTCTCAGGCCGGTCCCGTGCAGCTCCCTCGGCCTTTCCTCGTAAGAGATGCTGCAGTCCCTTCATCCCTTGGCCGGGCGGAACCAGACAGAATGTTTCTTCTGATCTGTTACTGTCGGAACTCAAAATGTCCCTCAGACATTTTCAGAGGTTCCAGGCCTTGGTCAGAAGCATTTTAGACCCTGGCAAGCAGCTGAAAACAGCTGTGATCTTGAGTTTGAGCCATGGAATGAGTTACCAACTTTGAAGGTGGAACAAGCGGTCACAGAGAGTTAGATGGTATAGTAAAAGTAGTCACAAATTAGAGGGAAAAATTTTTTAGTATTGTACAGGGGGGTTTTAACACCTCTACAGGGGGGTTTTACTTTGTACATGGGGGTCAGGAGTTCTAAGATGGAGGAAAGTGGGCCTGATCCTGTTCTTCCTCCTTCTTCTTCCTTGCCTCCATGTTCTTGGTGATGTTGGCACTCACAGATTGGTTTAGAGTAGAGAAACACAGTGTAACATAGATAGTAGGTATTGGGGAAAATCTGTAAACATATAATACGTAATATATCATATAAAAGATAGCAGCAGCCTTGGGCAGGGAGAGAGAAGACACCGGACAGTGAGGGTGTCAGGAGAGTGTGTGCCTCTGCCTGGGCCGCTGATCTAGGCAGCCGCAGCGGGCAAAGACAATCTTTTAGATAACCAGCAACAAACTGCCTTGAGACCGAACAACAAGAGGCTGCGGAGTCTTTCTTTGGAAGCACGGGTTGGAGGAGAGACTTTACCACCACACGAGACCCCTGAATCAATGCCGGGGTTCTCACATGTTACTAAATTAAAACACAGTTGTATCCTCGGCCGGAACGTCGTCCTGGCGGCTGCTCGCTCTGCTGTCGGCCGAGCCGGGGGCTGGCCGGGCGCGGAGCCGGGCGAGGCGCGGGAGATGCCGCTCCGCCGCCGGGGCTGAGGCCGGGGCTGAGGCCGGGGCTGAGGCGGGCCCTGACGCGGGTGACGCTGCCGTGAGCTCACGCCGGGCCGGGCCGGGCCGGGCGGGGCGGCCCCGCACTCCGCTCGCCATGCGCCGGGCGCTGCCGCCGCTCCGCGCCCTGCTCGGGGCCGGCCGCCCGCCGCGGCTCCCGGCGCCCCGGGGGATGCGCTCGGCCGGGCGGAGCGGGCACAGCGCGGTGAGCGGGGCCGGGCCCGGGCGGAGCGGGCACGGCGCGGTGAGCGGGGCCGGGCCCGGGCGGAGCGGGCACAGCGCGGTGAGCGGGGCCGGGCCCGGGCGGAGCGGGCACAGCGCGGTGAGCGGGGCAGGGCCCGGGCGGAGCGGGCACAGCGCGGTGAGCGGGGCCGGGCCCGGGCGGGGGCCGGGAGCGGAGAAAGCGAAACGGGCGCGGGGCGCGGCGGAGCGCGGCCGGGCCACCCGCCGTGCCCGGGGCCGGGGATGCCCGGGGACATCCTCGCTTCCCCGGGCACTGCTGGCTGCTTGTGCTCTGGTCTTACAGAGCGAACGAGGGAAACTCCTTCCGACTACTGCCGGCTCTGTCCCTGTGGTTGGGCAGCGCGGCACAGCGCTCCTAGCATCAACAGTTTATTTACAGTCCAAAGGGAAACAAATCTGTTAACATCATTACCTCTCTCTATCATTATATCTATCATATCTATATATATATGTTCAGTTCCTTCCTTAGTGCTTTTCCCCCCTTTAATACTTTCTTTTTCTTCCTACTAGTATTACTCACTGCCATGGGGGAAAGCAATATGTTATTACTGCTTTATGGTGATCAAGGTAAAAATTTGTTGATCTGCCACTCTTTTGATACAGAAAGCCTGAGCTGGTGTAGTGTGATACTGAGTTTTGACAGATGAAGAGAGGGAAGATGAGCTAAAATTCCCATTTGTAATCTGTTATCTATACATCTGTTATTTGTATGTTGCAAAATTAACGTAAAGAATCACATCTGCTGCAAAATGTTTCCAATACCGCTGTAGTTTCAGCAGTTTCATGCACCCATTCACAAAGCCTGGGAAGACTGCTGTACATTTATTAGCAAGCCTTCAGCAGCATCCCTGCAGCAGTTGGGTTATTTCTGACATAGCTTTCCTGAAACAAGTGCTGGCTATGTGGAGACAAGGACTTCAGGGGTATTGTTCTTTAAATTAAAAGGGTGATGATTCTACAGAGGAGAGAGCAGAAGGCTTCAGGGGGAGTTCTTGCATGTAAAGAGAAAAACCCAGGCTAATTTAAATGAATGGGAATGCAATATATTTACAGTGTTGACGTTATTAACTCAGGCTGCCTAGGGGGGTGGATTTCCGCTGTTGTTTGATCTGCATCCCGATTCCCAGCAGTGCCTATCCCTGTGCTGTGCCCAGCTGCAGGAAAAATGTGGTGGGTGACTAAGTGATGTGGAACAAAGTGCTGCTTGCGTGGGCAAAGTGCCCTTCTCCTGCCCAGGAGACACGGTGGCTGTGGGTGTGTGCCCTGAGAGCTCCGGTAGCAAAGGCTGTCCCACGTCCCAGGGCTGCAGTCCTCTCTGTGCCTGTTCCCCTCATCGTGCTCAGCTTCGGCCCTTAACCCTTCCCTTTTCATCACTGACCATAAATCCCAAGGTTCCTGGTTTCTGCTTTAGGCTCGGGAGAGAAATGAGCTTTAGATGACAGGTTTTGTTCCATGCTTTTCCAGCCTGATCTGGTAACAGTTTCATTGCTCAGCAGTCCTCTCTCTGTCTCTGCTCCTTGCCCTTATCACCCAGCTCATCCTTCCTCACTCTCCTTGCCAGGGCTCACCAAGTCCAGCTCTTCACTGCCTCTAAGGCGGGCAAGGAGATAGATTTTAGTAACTCGAGCAGCACCTTGGTTTAAGGAGGTGCTGATTTTCCCAGTTAGTCTGCCCTATGTGAAACTGGGACTGAAGCCATGTGTAGGAGCACAGCAGTCACTTGGCTGTAATCAAACTCTTGTGGAACAGAACAGTTTTACTACAAACACCTTGTAAAGGAGCAGCCAAGTACAATACTTGTGTCCAAGACCTGCCTACTGCTGAAAAATTTACTTTTGCATATTTTGTTAGTATTCTGTGAGGGCCAAGCCATTAAAGTGTGACTCAGTGGCACAGCAGCATGTATTTTGTACCTCTTGGCATCAGTTTAAGTTAATTTTTCCCTATCTTCTGAAACAGTCTGGAACTATTTGTAAGGCAAAATAGCTCTCATGAGTCTGTATGCATAAGGCAGAGGGAGTTGTGGTGCTCCTTGTGTCAACATATTTTTAGCATGAAGATGTGTCTGTAAGGCACATTAGGATATGCAGTATTACAGATCCCCTGCTCTCACTGGAGGTGTCTGTTCTCAGGGGGCTTTAGCTGCTGTAAACTCTATTAAATATATGTAAGGACAGGCATAACTAATGGACCCTTTGATTTCATCCCTCCTTCCAGCTCAGCATGCTGCCATCCTTTGGATTTCTCTTTGACATTGATGGGGTGCTGGTGCGAGGGAGGACCCCCATTCCTGCTGCCAGAACAGCCTTTCGAAAGCTGGTCAACTCTCAGGGACAGTTCCTGGTGCCCGTGGTCTTTGTCACCAACGCGGGGGACTGCCTGCGCCAGAAAAAAGCTGACCAGTTGTCTCACCTGCTGGGGGTTCCAGTGAGTCACCTAAATCCATTTATGTCATTAGCATGTTGAATGTGTCAGCAGTATTATGTTCCATTAAATGCTGCTCAGTTCATCGGTCTCCTTTTCCCTTAAGCCTCCTGACATGCTTTGCTGAAAGTGAAAAGTGCAGCCCAAAGCTAATGGCTTTTCTACTGGTAAAGGCACTGGTTTTTCCAATAGTAAAGCTAAAGGTATTTCTTTGGAAAGATGGTAAGTAGGGATCCACAGGAGCATCTTTCCAGAATAATAGTCTTACTGGTTACTACCTGTCCTGTTGAAGGGGTGGGCAAATGTAAACTAAAAGAAGGTGATGATCTGGTACAATTAAATCAGAGCTGCAGTTTAGCAAACAGCCCACAGCTGGAACCAGCTCTGATTCTTCTTCCCTGTTTTCTTCTAAATTAATTTGGTGATCTTATAAAACCAGGAGAGAAAGGCTTGTTCATGTTGAATTGAGCTGGAAGCTGAAAGGGAGATGTATGATAATTTGTCATTAAAGTATCTTTTTTCTGGCTTATTATCAATACATCATTTGTGAAAGGAGAAAATGCTGATTGTTATGTAATTCCTGGAATCTGTCACATCTGTTAATTGAATCTATGCATAAACAACTTCTCTGAAAAACAACAGACTCCTTTTGTTTTTAAATCCCAAACAGATTTCCCAAGATCAAGTGATGATGTCACACAGTCCTCTGCGGATGTTCAAGAGTTATCATGAAAAATGTGTCCTGGTATCTGGGCAAGGACCCCTTCTTGATATTGCTCAAGAGTATCTTTACAAAAAGAGTTAAAAAAAACCATCAACTTTCTGTCAAAGTGTTTGTTTTCCTTAATCAGGTTCAGGGGCTACTATGGATGAAGTGAAAATCAAATATTTCAACCCTACAAATGCAGTAATAAATAGTAGTGATAGTTCCTAGTATGGTGCCAAATTTATGTTTTGAATGTGGTTTTATACTAAGTGCCCAAAGAACTTAAATTATATTGATATTATGGTGGTATCAAAATTTCAAACTGTAACTTAATAACTTTAGCTTTTGCATAAACATTGCTCAGGCTTCCATTAAGTCCCTTCTGCACTTTTTCCTTTAGTGGGATTTTCATTGAAGTTGGTGTAAATCATAAGTTGTAAAAACGTATATGCAACTTTTAAGCATAAGCTCTATTTGAAGTGCAAAACCAAGAAAAAGGTATTGAGAGAACATTCCAGTTAACAGTCAAAATTCATTAGGCCTGGCTAAGAGAGAAGTAGATGAGAAGACTGAAAACAAAACAGAAGAACTTTGGTCTCTCATTTATCAGCAGTGAGGCAATCACCTTTTTGTCTCACAGGAGGAAAATTTGTCTTTGATGTTGCTTTCATTGCTAACTAATTTGTCAGCTGAATACCTTTAGATGGTTAAGGTGGAATGAGCAGTTTGAAAAGCTTTTCCTGTGAGCATCTGTGTGTCCTTAGCTGGTGTGCCCCAGCCTTGGTTTCTGCCAGCCCATCACCATTGACACCCTGCGGGAGAAACGCCCTCTGCTCGATGCAGTTGACCATGACAGAAGACCCAGCATCCTGGTGAGTGGAGATTTTTGTTTTAAACCTCTCTGTTTGCTCCTTGCATGACATCCTAGAACAATATTTAATCAATATTTAGCTACCAAGCTAATGGTGCTGTTCTTACATTGTATTTTGACTTTGCTTTTCTTCTTCCTTATTTGTTTTGTTACAGCATTCTCAAGAACAATTTTTTTCTCTCAGTAGTAATTCTTTAACCCAGCCTTTGATTTTGTAACCTGCTGTTGTGGGAAAGCTCACACAATCTAATACAGATGCCTAATGCAAAATCTGTTTTGGAAAGCTGATTAGCTTCCTCAGAAAGTGTAGAAGATAACATAAGCTTTTCCCTGAATATATGATTGTGTTGTCATTGTTTCTAACCCATGAGGTTGCTTTGATTGGAAATGAATGCTTTGAAGATAAATAATTTTCCCTCAAAGGGCTCCCTTTGGTGTTTATAGCATTATTTAAATGTCAGCAGTAGGTACAGTTGTTCCAGTTGAATTGAGCAGAATTTAAAGCAGAAGTGAACAGCTGGGTGTGCTGTACATGTTCAGGGCCAGCCTACAAAGTGGATTTCCCCCACTTGTAGCAAGGACATTCTCTGGCACACAGAATCCATAACTCTGCTGTGTCTCCTTTTGCTGGGCTCTTCACCCATGTGGATAGGGGAGGTCAAGAACCTGTTAAAGTGCTTGTCACCACAGAGAGTAAATAACAAAGTGCAGACTCTCAATTGTTTAGCAAACATATTACATGTTATACAGTGCATTCTTTATTAGAAGTGTTAAAGAAAAACATCTCAAAAACTATTTTTCAAATATCTTGGTACTACTGGAGGCCTCTTAATCCTATGTAAAAATACACATCCATACTTTTATACACAAGTAGTTAAAACAACTAATTAAACAAGTAATTTAAACAACTGAGATTACAACACAAGTAATTTTAACAACTGTAGTTAAAAAACTCCAGGGGCAGCTGAGGAGAAGCAGGAGGCAGGTGCAGGTACAGCACAGTCACTGCTGTCCCTGTGCCAGAGGTGTCACTTCAGAGAGGAAACACAAGTTTCTGAGTGAACTGATGTCATGTATATACCAATATAGAGTGCATTTCCTGCTGGAGGGACAGGAGGTAGCTCCGGGAGATGTGCTTGAATTTATTCTGTTAAAAATAGATGTTTAATCTTGTAGAAAACTTTCACTTTTTTTTCTTATTGCAGTCCCCATCTGCTGTGGAGCTTCCCAAGATTGAGGGTCAGTTACCTTTATTTAACTTATATCTATCCATTAACACTTTTATTTTATTTTATTTTATTTTATTTTATTTTATTTTATTTTATTTTATTTTATTTTATTTTATTTTACTTTATTTTATTTTATTATCAAAATTATTTTTAGATTGTTGAACACTTTGAAAATTTGTCTGAGACAATCCAAAAATTTCCTTGTTAATGATATCTGTCATTCATTTGAAAGCATCATGTGTTGTAAGGCTGGTTTTTATTGTGTGCAGTTTTCAGCCACTGGTTTTGAAGTTTGAAGGGTATATGAGGTCTCCTTTCCTTTTCATCTGCCTTTAACAGGCTGTTGTTGCCCTCCTTTCATAAATGAGGAATGAACTGATGTTCATTATTCAGAAATAATTGGTCTTGTTCTTACAAGTAGTCAGGAGGCAGCTGTAGTATGAGAAGGGTCTTGTGTTCACTCTTATCTCATCTGAACTGCAGGAAAGTAGAAATTGGACCTTAGGATTTTAAAATATCCATGTCAGATTATTGCTGGAGACCAAAGCAAATTTTAAAAACAACATCCAAATTTTGTTCTGAGATGAACAAATCAACATCTCTGATGTTGTATTTAAATACTGTGTGTAAACAGAGAACTCCTAAGTTACGGAAGACTTAGCAATACAATTTAGAAGTTAATATTGTAATTTCTGGAGAAACCTCGCCTGTAAAATAAAATTCCTAAACCTGTAGATTTTGCAGTGGGGTCTTATTACTTCTGAGATTTTCTGTGAATGAGTGGGCATGTGATATATGAAGCCCCTAAATTAATGTGACTGTTTGGTAAGTTCCTTAAGTTTATATTAAATGACTTGTCCAGTCTCTTTAGGCTATGTTTTAGGCCCAGTGTCAGAGACTCTGTTAAAACCTCCATGACTGTTCTGTTCTGTGGTTCTCACAGCTGTGGTGCTATTTGGGGAGCCAGTCAGATGGGAGACCAGCCTGCAGCTGATAATTGATGTTCTGCTGACAAGTGGCTATCCTGGAAATCCCTATGGGCAGGAAAACTACCCTCACATTCCCGTGCTGGCCTGTAACATGGACCTGATGTGGGTGGCTGAGGCACAGTCCCCAAGGTGAGTGCTTTATTCATATAATTGGGATTTATATGGGGCTTCCTCATTTCTCCAGTAGGATTCAGAGCCAACACTTGAATACAGAATGTTTGATGGAACTTCACAGCAGGGCTTGGCTTTGAATGCAACGTCTCTAATGCACTTTCAGCTAATGCTGCCTTGTTGCTGGCTGCATTATTGCATCCAGGAAATCAGTTCTCAAGAGAAAAGCTGCTTTTAAGCTCTAAACCCTTTTGTTTCCTCACTCCCAGAACAGTGGAGAAAGAGAGGTTTTTCCTGAGGGCCTCAGAGCCTTGGTTCAAAGGCAAAAATAAAACAATTATCAAGGTTATTGGTTTTTTTTCATTAGGTCCCTCTTTGGTATTTATCTTTTACTGGTAGGGTAAAGGGCTGACCCTGCTGGTTGAAAGCAGTGGGTGGTTCTGAGCTGAGGACAATGCAGTGAGCTCTTTAAGAAGCACAAGAAAAGGCAGGTAGAACATGCAGAGCAAGGTGCCAGGACCTCTTAGAGTGGTTTTATTTGATTTTGCTTTCAATAGAAGGTACTTCTTTAATAGGTTTGTTTCCCCTCCCTTCCCATGTCTGTAATTTGAAATAGAAACTTGTTACTGTGACTTGATTGCTGCCTCAGCCCTGGGTCAAAGATCTGCTCAGATACCAGTCTTTGGAAGAAGAGGCTATCTCTAATTAGCACATTGGAAAAGATATATGTGTGATGGCTTCAGGCTGCAGTAAGACAGCCAGGATACCTCCAGTGAGCAATTTTAAAATTATATAAACCTGTTGTGCTGTCCCAGTAATGTGGGTTTATTTTGGTGTCTGTTGTTCATCTAATCAGCACTTAATTTTCAGTGAACCAGCTGCAGAAATGTTGCATGCTGAGCAGAATTTGACAGTTGCAGGACACAATTTATTCCTAAAAAATAATGAAATAAAAAGCCTTGTTTGATGTTTTAAATCTGTGCTTAATGTAATTTGATTTGGTTTTATATTTGTGTAGGTTTGGGCACAGAACATCCATGGTTTGGATTTATATCTCTGTAGGTTTGGGGATGGAACATTCATGGTTTGGATTTATATCTGTGTAGGTTTGGGGATGGAACATTCATGGTTTGGATTTATATCTGTGTAGGTTTGGGCACAGCACATTCATGGTTTGGATTTATATCTGTGTAGGTTTGGGCACAGAATATTCATGGTTTGGATTTATATCTGTGTAGGTTTGGGGACGGAACATCCATGGTTTGGATTTATATCTGTGTAGGTTTGGGGATGGAACATCCATGGTTTGGATTTGTATCTGTGTAGGTTTGGGCACAGAACATTCATGGTTTGGATTTATATCTGTGTAGGTTTGGGCACAGAACATCCATGGTTTGGATTTATATCTGTGTAGGTTTGGGCACAGAACATTCATGGTTTGGATTTATATCTGTGTAGGTTTGGCCATGGAACGTTCATGGTTTGCTTGGAAAACATTTACAAGAAGATCACTGGCAAAGAGCTGAAGTATGAGGCGTTGATGGGCAAGCCCAGCAGGCTGACATACCAGTGTGCAGAGCACCTGATCCGGGCCCAGGCCCTGCAGAGGAGCTGGGAGCAGCCCATCCAAACCCTCTATGCTGTGGGGTAAGCTGTGCTGAGCCCCACAGGGACAGTAGGGAATCCCAGACCCTCTGTGCTGTGGGGTCAGGTGTGCTGAGCCTGACAAATACACCAGGAAATTACTCACAGTGTAAATGCCAGCCAAGAAAAACACACAACTCTTACCAGCTTGTTTCTCCTACTATTAAGACCATCTAACTTTCTTGGTGCTATGGTATATTTTTTGTGACATTTCTGATCTTAAAAATTAATGATGCTTTGCTCTTTTAATGTGTAATTTCTACAGAAGCACAAAAGGTGTTTTATATGCAACTAAGATTTCTCCTGATTTATTTTTTCTGCAATAGGCTGTGTAAATCTAACAACAGGGGTTTGCCTGGGTGTTTATTCTATTAGGTTGAGTTGGTGTAACACCAACTGCCTTTGAGCAAAGAACAGTTAGATACTGTAGAGCTAGACTTTATCTCTTAGGTCATTTAGGTTGGTCATATGCTACTGTGTGTGCTGCCACATCATAGAACCCTTTTCAGACAGGAAGACAAGGCTGTATTGTATTAAAGACTGTTTCAGAATCTCCAAGATGTTTGGCAATATAATAAGGTAATTCATGGGCTGCTCATACCTTGATTTTCTCTCCCCTTGCCCCGATCTGCAGTATGGAGAGTGATTAATTTTGTCATGCTTCATGAAAATGGTGCAATAAGATAGCTGCAGGGCTGGACTTCTCCCTGTCTGCCTGATTCCACACCAAGTGGTGTAAAGTATACAATAAACTGTTAGATGGGAATGCTAAGAATGCCTTCTAGAGCTGAAGCTGCAGTGCTGATGAGTTTCTGGTTTCAGGGACAATCTGATGACGGATGTGTACGGAGCTAACCTGTACAACCGCTACCTGCAGGAGAGCTCCAGGACTGGCTCCAAACCCCTCCTGCAGGCCAAGGCTTCAGCAGGCAGAGCCCTGCTGCTCCCCCGGGCCCATGAGGCTGGCCTCAGCTGGCAGAAGCAGCTGGCACCCGCAGCTGCTGCCCGCTGCCGCTCTGTGCTGGTCTGCACCGGGGTGTACAGCCCCCAGGGCCAGCTGGCCCTGCCCGCCCAGGACAGCGGCACTGAGAACGTCTTCCACGGGCACAGGGATTTCACCTTCGACCCCGGCCTGGTGGAGCCAGACCACATCGTGCCAGATGTGGATGCTGCTGTAGACCTGGTCTTCCAGCTGGAGAACTTTGCACCTCATTGAGGTACATGATTTCTTAAGGACCCACTCCGTGCTGTGCTTTTCTTGCCCAAAACACACTGTGCTTTACAAGAGTGCCACAAACTGCTGCCTTCTAAGTTTTTTGCCCTCTGAATTAATACAACCTTCTATTAGGTATGCTTATCAGTAGTACATGTAGGTACATGTGTGTATTTAATTATATTAAATGTCAATAATGCTTTTTATAGAGCTTCTAAATATGTAATTTATGGCTGGAGTTGCTCTTTACTGTCTTCCTCTTTGTTATCTAGGGACTTCAACAGCAATATTTCATAGTAGCCTATTCATGTACTGGTACTTAAATCCCTTCACGACAGTACCTCCTATTTTTTGCTGGAAGATTTAGCTTTTAGGTGTTGAGGATCTTGAGGATATCAGATTGTGGCGCTGGGGTTACTCAGCCCACTCCACGTGGGCTGGCACAGAGCACAACTTGTATTATTGCCTGGCATTCTGCAAGTACTGAATGCTCCCTTCAATCAGAGGGCAGTTCAGTTTGTTCCACCTTGGACTTGCTCTCATCTGACCTGCTGCTGCCTTTCCTCGTGTCTCTTTTCCCATGTCCCTGGAGTTTTGTTGCTCTTCTCTGCTGTGTGAATCCTTAACTGTGTTGGAACTCCCTAGTCCTGGAAGGGAAGCAGATCTGGGTGCCCTCTGCAGCCTTTTTGCTCTTTGCCTTTCTATCTCCACTTTATTTTTTTGCACTTTTTAAATTTTTTTTTTTAATTTTTTTAAGGAATTGTGAACCTTAGAAAGCTTTAGCAGTTTTGTTTCATGTGTTTCTGTGAGTTGGGACTTTACACTGAATCAGTGACTACTGCTCAGCCAAAAAGTGCCTCCTAATTTACTTGAAGCCACTGTGGTAATTAACTGGCCTTTAGTGTAATATATTTAATCTCATGTCAATGTTATGTGTTGTTTGGTTCATGGATTTTATAGCTGTTTGTTTAAAAAGAAAAAGTAATTTATTTTTTGTTATTTTTGTAAAATGCTTCTAAAGTTTTCATCCCAAAGATGCCTTTGAAAATATTTCTGTGTTATTTGTTATAACACAGAAGCTTGTGACATAAGCTTGGAAAACATAACCCAATTAATTGTTTTAAGCCAAAGTCAATTTACACACAAAGATCAATTCACATTAGGGACTAGTTAGGTTTTTAAGATGGGTTTTTAAGGTTTTTTTCTTAAATTAGGAATTGTACAAACGAAACCTGGGAGTTCATTTCTGCCAGGTTCCTGCAGGGCTGTCAGAATGACTTCCTGGCCAAATCCTTCCCTGCTCCTTATCCCAACAGCAACTCTGAGAGCTCCCAGCTGCTGTGCAGTCAGATTTTGTTGCTGTGTTTCCTCTCTTTGCAGAGCACTGTAATCCCCTCTCCACTGTCAGGATTGTTGATTCATCTCTTGTAATGTTTCCTAAGCAGCTCTCGGTGTCTCGCTGGATGCAGTGTAGGGACACTGCTCTGAACAGTTCATTTCCTGCTCCTTCACTGGAAACGTATTTACAGCAGCACATTCTTGCCTTTTTATTGGTACAATGAACAGATATCCACCTGTTTCTTTAGATACCCACCTCTTTCTTTACTTTCCTGTAATATACCAAGTATTTGCAAAGAACGCCAAATCCAAGTAAAGATTGTAATTTTGGAAGGTCAGGGTAATTTGAAGTCACATTGTTTCAGTACTAAAACATGTTATAAAACTCTCTAACTTTACCAGAATTGGTGAAACAAGGAATAAAAATGTTTGAAGGTGCTGAAGAACAAAATGTTCCGTTTGTTTCTCCTTTTTTCTCTACAGTTTGGACAAACACTTCAAAATGTTCATGAAGGAACTGTATATAGACCTCTTAGGTCTCACCCCTCATGGAAACATTAATATAAAAGGTGTTTATAGAACAGGAAGACTGACTCTTTTTCTCTGGCACATCACCAGTAAAATCTAAAACCCCCCAACCTCTGAGTATTCCAGATCCTCCAGCTCCATGGTCTGACCTCCTGCTTGGTGAGGGCAGACCCTCAAAAAGCCAAAATGCTGAAAAAGCAGCAGATGAAGGAAATAAAGGAAATTAGAAATAATGACCTGAATAACACTACACACAGAAGTCAGTCACCAAAAGGGGTGGAAATCTCTTCCCATCAGTGTAAAGGGGAGAAACTGGGATTACAAGAGTTTCTCAGCAACTCAGTGGTGTGCTGGTATGCTCTGTAACTTGAACAGAAATGGGGACTAACAGATACCACAGCATATCTCATACAGTCTGTATTAAAATCTTCTGTCTAGACAAAGATGAATTCTTGGGTGATGAAATAGATCCTGTTTTCAATGTTGACAGAAACAGGCTGCAGAATTAAAAAGTTTCAGAAAAGTGTTTCTGTGAGCAAAACAGATGAGTGCATATTCCAAATAGCACAGGTGAGTTTACTTCGTGTAAAGATTGGTTTAATTTGTCTAATTCAGACCACCTGGGACTCAGCTGGTCTTAATTAAAAGTTCTCCTCCTTGCACTGTATTGGTCTTTTATCCAAGCTCATAATTCAGTACTGGGCTCCTGCTAAACATGTCTTACAGTTTAACACCCAGCAGGTGATTTATGTATTTATTGGTTTATTTATTGACCTGTTCCTGAAGCAGAAGCAGCACCTGGCGTACAGGTAAGAATTTCTGTAATCTAAGAATCACATTTTCAATAGGATTTGGGATTGGTGTCTTGTTTTATGGAGTTGTATCTGGGAAAATGCTTTCTGCTAGTTCAACAGCTAACTTCCTGCCCACAGATGTGGAGAAAAAATAATTCAGTTAACTTAAACTATAAAAAATACATCTATTTTTCTGCATGTACAAACTACATAGTGAAAAGTCAGTTCACCAGAGCAAATGAGAAATGGCTGTAGTGTGTGTAGATGTCTTGTATCCAAACTATTTCACATTCTTAGAGAATTCCGGGAAATGAGAAATAATTTGTAAGTGCTCATCTCATGCACTTATAACAAGCCATTAAAAGGAAAAGTTGGGTTTTTTCCCCATGCAGATTTAGAAACTCCAGTATAAATGTGTAGAAGATGAGAAAATCAGGTCAGCCCTTCCCAGGAGCAGGAGATGTCACTCATGACACCTGCACAATTTCCCTCTCTCACCAATTCCCTCCAGCACACCAGTGCCAGGCCGGTCACAGCCACAGCGTCTCAGTAGCAAAAACGTGTCCTTAAAGAGAATAAAGTGACAAATTCAGCTGCACCCAGCACTCTGAGGAGCCAGCTCTAGAGCCTGGCCATGGCACTGACAACTCTTTTGACACCCGAGGCTTTACTGAAGCAGCAGACAATGCCAACCAAGAAATTCAACAAAATTTCAGATTCAGATTTCATTCCTCATCTTCCAGACAGCTCTGCTGGAGAGTTTGTTAAGTGGGAACAATTGAAAGTGTGTGCATTTCTGGAAGGGATGGAGATTTGGGAGGATTAGAGGAAGTTATTTCAGCACCATTTGTTTAATTAAGAGTACATGAGGTCATATCTTGTGTAAAAGTAGAGCATACAACACTGTAGGATAGGATATATAATTCTTAAAATTGATTTTTCTGATCATATACCACAAGGTACATGCAAAAAATAACAACAAAAGGTATTAATTGCCAAATGTTTACTTTAATTAAACCTTTTTAATGATACACAGTACAATATATCCACTACTTTGCTAAAATTCACAACAAAAGCAGGTTTCATGTTTAAAAATACTTTTCATAATAAATTCATAAATAGATGAAGGTAAAGTATAAAAAATTACCGTAGTATGCAAGCTTGCTCCCTTGTCTCCTCATATTCAAATAATTTCGTCAGTATTGTGATAAGAAAGTTTAAAAGCAAAATAGATACTGATGATTAGAAATGTTCAGCCTGCATCTCTCGAAGAAACCTTGAAAAGCAACAGATTTGTCCTAGAAAATGCAGAACCATTTTAACACTGTTATCACCCAAACCCCTGAAATAATTTTGGAATGCAGTGAATGAATTCAATATGAATTAGAGATTTTTTCCTTCCCCCCCAGAGGTGTGTGTGAGCCAGACTGGCTGGGATGCTCCCTTCTCTGGAGTTGTGGGGTTTTTACCTGTCAGATCTCAGCGAGTGAGGCACAGGAGAGGGAAAATCTGGCTGACAGCACAGAGCACATCTGCCTATCAGAAATCTCAAAGAGAAATCTTTAAAAACACTTACAAAGAACTAAATTCACCTTCTGCTCAGTACCAGCCTGTATCTACTTTCTGTCTGCCAGGCAGGACAGGGTCTGGTGTTCCCCACTGGCTTCCCCTGTTTTGGGAATGGTTTTTGTGTCTCACATCATTCCAACACAACTCTGTGGGGAAGCCCTGATACTGCACCACCAAACCCTATTAGCAAAATTATTCTCCTCATCAATATTATCACTCTCCTAAGAAAGCATTTATTTTGTCAAGTATCAAACTACTTTTCACACTTTATCTATTTTAATATCATTTATAAAGGGAAAAATCTTACTTATACACAGCATTGAACTAGGAAATGAACATGAAAAAGGCAGAATAATCAAGATGCTCTGCCTTTCACATTAATGATTTTTTTTTCTGATAATTATTTCCCTTTAGTGCAAAACCACTTCCACACAAGTTCTGTGCTTTATTTGCAACGGTACTGAGATGCTTTTGAAGACATTGGGAGGCATCTGTCTGCAGCTTTCATGTCTGTGTAAATTCAGCTCTTGGCTCATTTTAAAAAATGTTTTCAAGACAAGTTTGCATGCCATGTCCAAAGCACAATCTTCCAAACCCTTGTTTTCACATATGACAGTCTAGGCACCCAAAAGGAGCGAGAGCTCTGCTTTTGGTGAAGCTCTTTGAAATCTATCAGTATTAGCTAACAGGAAAGCTTTTAGTGCTTTCAGCTGGGCTTCATTTAGATTTTCACCCCTGAAAAACCTGCTTGCCAGTACAGTGACAGTAAGAAAATAATCAGGACTTCTCCTCTCTTCTTAAGTATGCTCATTTTTCTCAAATTCTGTTTTGCAAAACAAATGTTAGCAGGTTTCTGGGCCGACATTTTGTTTTATATTTGCATAATTATAAATATTTGTACAAGTTCCACCCTTGATGATGGACTGGATGAGAAACTGGAGATAAAATTAGCTTAAAATCAATACAAAGGGCAACAAAGGCTCCTGGGAACCACATTCTGCTGATGATTTCATTTCAGTATCTGCTTCTGCATTCCACTCCCAAGTGCTACAAGGCAGAAATCAATGTCCCTTCCTGTGCTTTTGTAATATTTTTGCACACTTTGGTACTGCCAAAAAGAAATTATAAACACAAATGCAAATACATGATCAGCCAAAGAGATCTGCTTAAAAGCAATTACTGCACCATAGCCTTGTTAATGTTCAACTGGCAGTAAACAGATTTCTTGGCAAGTGTTTATGCTGTGAACTCTGAACAAGCATTACTGAATTATTCACTTGATGTACATCAGTGCCCATTTATACCCTTAGAGGTGAAACTCAGGTTTTTGCCCGTAAATCACAGATTTATTGCTCCACATTTACTGTTTATTTCTGGTCAAGGTGCTCCCAGCCTAGTGGGTAGTGAACAAAGGAAGAGTTTGGCAATCAAAGTAAACTTTAACTACTGACAGCCCAAGCACCTCCAGCTGCTAACCTAAAAAATAAACCAGGTCTTCAAGTGTCTTCTGAAAAAATTTTAAAAAACCCAAAAAACCAAGTCTTATTCTAATTCTTTTGTTCAGCTAGGAGGGCATGCAAACTTGTACTCCACTTGTTACAACACAGAAGAGCCAAGAGTTAAAACATAAAACTGATTTAAAACCATGGTTTTAGTTTTCTGCAGGAAACTGAAAACAAATTGGAACTGCTGCCTTCATTTAAAGTACAGCAAACAAATCACTGCTGCTGTATTGCACATTTTCTGACTGAGCCAGACTGACCTGCAGACAGAGCCTCATCCTTCAAGCCTAGTTTAAGAAATAAATCCAGGCAAATTATATGAAAAGTGTAGTGCCTGGTCTAATTCTACTTATTCACTAAACAAACCTCAAAACAAAGAAGATGGATCAGTAATTCCTCAGTTCTTCATCTATTGTAAAAACACAATCATCCACTGGCTGCACTGGAAGCAGGATTTATGTTCATGTTGCTTCTTGTTCCAGTTTTAAGATGAGTTACTATGTAAACTATGGATTTCAGTCTGAGAAGTAGCAATACTGTTCTTAAATGCATACGGGTTTTTCTCAGCATTCAATAATTTGGCACTAATGCTGCAGGTGGTGGGGGCTGAGCTCATCTGCGGCTCCCTGCTCAAGCAGAACTGCAGGACCATGACCTACAGATTCAAGCTGTCATGGGTCATGACAGAAAGTTAAATGTTTGCAAATATTCTGTACCTCACCAGCAGGAAAAGCAGTCACTTGGTTTTTGCTTGGACTGTCTTCACAGTTCCTCCTGAGAACAGAATATAGGGGATACACCAACAACTCCAGGGTGTGGAAATTCCCATTTTCATTCCCATTCCCAAATGTCTAACTGGGCATTTACTGCCTACTATCTTTGGAAGTAGGAATATCATGGAAAACCCCCCAAAACCACTACCAAGTACTGCAGCTCAGCCTGCCTTTCTGTAGAAAATATCAGAACTGTGAAAACTATACTAGTTGAAAAATTTAAGGCCTTTTCATTCTCACAACTATAAAATCTGAAAACTAACCCCTTAGACAGAAGCAAACAGGCTACAAAGCACACATTACTCCTCAGTTATCTACCTCACAGTTTAAAAAACCAGAAAGAGGAAAGAATGGTTCAATATTTGCTACAGGAAGATGAATAGGATTAAAATCGGTATCCATTAGCCCTTTCCTAAATCTTCCTAATTTTCATGACACTGGATAGGTTGGATGACTGAACTAGTGCAGCCCCAATAGCAAAATAATTCAAGTCCTTTTTGATCTGGATTTTTCAAAGAGGCAAGACCTTCACTTCAAATGGTGCTTCTTGAAAGTGACTCCTTCAAATTATCAGGATTGCAAAAATTGCTTGTCATACCTGAATACCTCTGCTTTATCTGCAGAGTTTAAAATATTGCTGCTCCTGCTCTCTTTGCAAATCCACTTTTGTAAGATGCCTGAGAGTGTAACTGCAGAGGAGTCCATCAGAACCTCAGCTACATCTACAAGGTACTCTACAGAGCTGCATCTGAAAGAACTGCATTATGAAATCTATTTTACTTTATGTAGACTTTTGATCCACTATGATGGATCAAAAGTCTACATAAGACTTTTCCTGCTGAGTGTTTTAAAGAAATGAAAAGCAGCTGGTAACTTGTGATAGGGAGAGGGGAACATCTGGGTACAAAGCTGGGAGAGAATCACTCAAAAAGACACTGGTTTCTCACAACCAAGAAGTCACAATCATGCAGTTCTCAGCTATTCTGAGGTCTTCTTTCCCATTATATGCCCATGCAGTATTTAAAGAGATGGTTTAAAAAACAAAACCAATAAACAAATCAAATCCACTTATGCCACTTATGCACTCTGGTAATGTAGCATGAAATGTGTGACCAGAATGCACCCTGTATTTGACCATTAGGCACATGGCAAGAGATCTTGGCTACAGTCAGTTCAAGATTTCTCCAGTTCCCGTTTCCAGTGGTGCAGGTCTTGAGTTGTGGAATGAAATGATGAGACCTGAGGGCAAAATCTCAGTGATGCTTCCACCTGGAAAAAGGAGCTATCACTGTGCAAACAACAGGCAAATGAAATGCATCTTCCCTCTCCTCAAGGCTGCTTTAAATCACCACCCTGGTCCAGTGACAGTGCTCAGGCTGGTTTTGCTTTCTGTTAAAACACTAATTTCAAATGGTAACAAAACCTGAGAGAAGCTCCCCCACCCGGGCCTGCTTCAATAGCAACTAGCAATCCATATGCCCTAGGACAGGTGGCTGCTATTTGGTCCTGTAATCAAAATCTTGGCTATTATGGCCCTTGAAATACCATTATCAAAGACACTGACACTTCCTGGTCACTGGTGGAGTTTTGAGGATTTGAAGGGATACTGTCAGAACTGTCTATTCCAAAAGTCACCTCCTTTGCCACCAGTCCCATGCTAAAGGCTCAGACCTTTCGGTTTGCATCAGTCTCTTCCTCAACGAAATGTCTTCCCACCCCAAAATACCAAGTTCAAAGTAGTTCCATCCATTTTTGTAACTTGTATGAAGGTTACAGAAAATAAAACCGTGGGGACAAATGTTGAGTAAGTTTTTCAGAGGGTTTGACTTTTAGGACCACCTCTCTGAAGTCCCTTTTTAAAAATAAGACACCAAAGCAAACAGGATTGTGTCTAACTTCTACAAAATTGCTGGTTTCACAGGAGGAGGAGAATATGGCTACCATGCTACTCAGCATTAGGGTGAAGCACCATCTAAACTCCAGTAAAGTTAGGGATATCAGCTAGCTCTTATCAGCAACCACACCCCCAGCCTTCCACAACATCTTTGCTGTCAAGCTTGATGCTGTCAGTGTTCTTCTCACTGAACATGGGCCCTCCATGCCTCATCATCAGCTCTGTGGCCATCTTCACAAACGCCTCCTCCACGTTGCTGGAGTCCTTCGCCGAGGTCTCTATGGCACAGATGATGTTGTCATAGTGTTCAGCCAGGCTCTGAGCTTCTTCCAGCTGAACCTCTCTAAGGTCACTTAGGTCAGACTTGTTTCCTGGAAGGAAAAGGAACAACAGAGGGATTTAGAACAGCTTTTTTGTCACAGGAAGCGCTTGGCAGGAGGGTCGCGGGTCGCCCAAGGAAGCTGAAGAATTTTCATTCTGTAGATTTTCAAAATGTGACTGAAAAGGCCCTGACCAGCACTGGATAATCTTCCCTGCCCTTTCCAACATGTATTTCTGTATTACCCATTATGAGCAGGAAAAGTAACTGAAGAGTGTTGGATGTAGACCCTAACAGAAGAGAATAGGCTAGAAATTGAAGTTAAAATCATTCTGTGAAAACAGCAGCTGTCTGCTGATTCCTAGGGAAATCCAGAATGGTACTGCTGTTGTATTAGCAGTTCTACAGGCCCCAAGAGCCACATCTGAGCCCAAAACATTTGGGCTGAAAAGCAGAACTTCTAGCAAAGAACTGACAAACTCTTATTGCCCCAAAGTCCTTCCAAAATTCCCTGTCTGCTGATGTGAGTGTGTGTTCCAACTCACCAAAACATATCAGCTTGCTGTGATGGAAACCTAAGCCTTCCTGGGCCTGGAAACCTAAAGAAGGGAAGGGAAGGGAAGGGAAGGGAAGGGAAGGGAAGGGAAGGGAAGGGAAGGGAAGGGAAGGGAAGGGAAGGGAAGGGAAGGGAAGGGAAGGGAAGGGAAGGGAAGGGAAGGGAAGGGAAGGGAAGGGAAGGGAAGGGAAGGGAAGGGAAGGGAAGGGAAGGGAAGGGAAGGGAAGGGAAGGGAAGGGAAGGGAAGGGAAGGGAAGGGAAGGGAAGGGAAGGGAAGGGAAGGGAAGGGAAGGGAAGGGAAGGGAAGGGAAGGGAAGGGAAGGGAAGGGAAGGGAAGGGAAGGGAAGGGAAGGGAAGGGAAGGGAAGGGAAGGGAAGGGAAGGGAAGGGAAGGGAAGGGACTCCACAGCTGCTGTGCTTCAGAACTGGGAAATCCTGGGCATCCCAGTTAACATCCCATTAAAGGAGATGCAAAGGATTCAAAGCTGTATATGCCTTAACAGAAGTCAATCAAAGCAAAACATCTCTGCTTTTGTGAATCAGCTCTTCTGGTAAAACTTCCAGTCGGGTCTATTGCATACACCTTAACCGCAACCAAAACCAAAAGCTGTGGTCACGTCACACAAGCACTGGCACTCCCAACTCACCAATCAGTAACTGCACGATGTTGGAGCCAGCATACTTCCTGACATCCTCGATCCAGCGAGGGATGGACAGGAAGGAGCCCCTCTTGCTGATGTCGTAGGCCAGGATGGCCCCGTTGGCGCTGCGGTAGTAACTCTGCGTGATGGTCCTGAACCTCTCCTGGCCCGCCGTGTCCCAGATCTGCAGCTGAGGGGACACAGCAGGGTCAGACACAGCCCACAGTGACCCACAGTGACCCACAGTGACATGTGGAGAATTCAGGACTCCTGTAAACTGACAAGTATGATTAAGCAGAAGCTGTTTATTGTTTACATTATGCACTTATTTATATATTCTAAGTACTGCACACTGATCACACATTTCTTATTGGTGCCTTTGTCTTGTCCACGTGTTCTGTGTGCACCTCTCAGAATACGGGACTGGTTACAGTCCAGGTGGCTCACAGCTCTCTGCTCTCTCTTTTTTGTGGTCTTGGAATTCAGTTTCTTAGCTTCTTCTTTCTTATTTTTGCACAGTTTATGTCTTAGTAGCATTGATGAATTTCAGAGGGACCTGAGAAAATTCTGATAAGAACATTTACAAGTGGAATGGCTGGTGCACACTGCAGTCTGAGTGGTTCAGATATATTGCTGCAGTGACACACTGGGACACACAGCAGCTGCTCTCCTCAACCAAAGGAGAGGACTTGATCCAAGAGCCTTGATCCAAATCTCCTGTATATGCAATGCATTCTAGCCCTGTGTTTATCTAGCCTTTTGTACATGATCTAAGGATGAGAATATATGAGAACCTTGATATAAACATATATATAATAACTACATGTGTATGTGTATATACACATACATACACACACACACACATATATATATATGTAATCTAAACTGAGAACTTGGCTGCTCCAAGTTTGTACCTGCATCAGTTGGGACCCTGGTTTCCTGCCAGCAAGCTCCTTCTGTGGCAGATTTTGGAACTCTCTTGTGTGCCCAGCCCCAGCCCTTTGCCACCCTTGGCAGCAGAACAGGGTGCCAGCCCGCAGCCAAGGTCACCTGGTGTGGCACTTCCTCTACAGATGGGTTTTGGCTACCACACCATCTGTGGCTCTGCCAGTTCTGCAATGGGCAGGAACAAAGGGAGCAGGATGTGGTCACATAATCTGAGAGCACTAAGGCTGTTTCAGAAGGAAATATGAGACAATTAAAAGAATATAGACAAAAGAGTGTGTAAATGAAATGCCAGCAATCCTAGGTCTCAATAAAATCAGTGAAGGATCTGTCAGTCTCATCACGTGTCCTCTTCTGGGTGGTAAAACACACATTACAACTGAGCAGGAAGAAGAAATGCTTGGTTTATATACTTTTGCCTAAATCTAGCAGCATAAGAATTATGAGTTTGGTATCAGACTTTGAGTTCCCAGTACTAGATGTTCCAGAGGAAGAAACCAAATAATTCAGAGTGGACAAACACAGTTTGCTGTTCATAGGGAATTTCTTTGTAAATCCTGATGTTTTATAGGTTGTCTAATGTCCTAGAACGTGATGGCTTATATTCCAGGATCTTTTAATCTAATGTAACTGTGGATGTCCTCATCCTCAGTATAAATCTCTAATCCTTTCTGGCTTCAATATATAGTCACACTATATATTGTGAAATGAAAGAACTTCCTTCTATGAATTTATATTCTGTTGCACTTTCTCCACTGAAACAAAACATAAGCAAATACTACTGGGGTTTTTAATTCTCCCATGGGGTGGACCTTTTATTTATGGCTTCCCCTCTCTCTAAACCCCCTTATTCAAAAGTGTTGTCAACAACTTAACACAATGTGCCAGTGCTGTTTTACACTAAATAATATGGAATATTTTTTCCTTTTCTTTTGCGTAGTAGTGTTTTCTTTGTATCTTCTGACTCTGCTGCATTTTTGAGCAGCAAATTTCCCTTTGGAAAAGGCTGTGCTGATAAGATCTCATTTCCTGTGCTAAGCAAGCATTCAGATCCCAGCTGATATATGTACAGCTGAAGGGAATCAATCCAGGAAAAAGGACTTCTCAGTGCTGGTAAGAGTGTTCTCAGAGCAGGGGAAGGGACTGGAATGGACTCAGAAAACCACAAAGCAATGATTATTAATGAAACAGATAATGGTTCAGAGCAGTCAGCAGCAATTAGCAGGGACCAGGAAATTGGGGGCAGGTTTATGGATGATCTCTGCACTCAGGTCTCCCACCAGCCCTTTGTGTTTGTTAAATCTCAGCACTTGATTAGGTCAAGTGCTAGAAAAGGCTAATGATGATTACCCAACTCTTGGGAAGGGCCTGAGGGATTCTGTGCACACAGACAAATTGGAAACACTTGAATTAAGAAATAAAATTGTTTTGGCTTACACTTTTCATGTGGTGTAAATAAAAATGCAGAGTGACTGAGCTAAGAACAACTCCCCCTCCAGTTTGGAAGATTGAAGACCTTGTCTGGTCACATCGTTTGTAATTTAAATAAATATCTTCTAGCATTAAGAACACACACTAGAGACACAGCAAGGAGGTATTATGAATCAGATTACTTAACGTAAAGCAAGTTGTATTTCTAAAGGAAAAATACAGCTAGTTTGCTTGACATCATCTTTAGAAAATTCTAAGAACAATATTTCCATGTAACATTAATCAGCCTGATATGCTGCTAAAAATATTATTTAAGTAATTACAAAAATACAAGTTCTGACCCAAAGTAAACACTATTTTCTCCAGCACGCCTACAGAGATAAATTTCACCAAATTCTAATGAAAAAGAATAATGACAACTATAAAAAAATACCAATCACACCTCTAACTTTAGCCAGCTTGTGCATAGTAAAAGTTTTATAAGTATTTCTCTTAAACTATATTTACAAGCATGTAACTCTTGAAAAAAAACAACTGAAAACTACTACTACTAGTCGTAGTATTTCTCATTCCAAAGTCCCTCAGTTTAAGCTAGAAGTTAAATACCAAAAGAACTGTAGTAGCCACAGGTAATTAAAAAAGATATGCTCATGTATTCTTCTGTACTGTACAAGTGTATGATGTATGTTGTAATTACATAATTATTACTAATTATTCTTTATTAAATTATTTATTGTGATAATACTTACTACTACTAATAAATAGTGTTTAATTATTACTTAATTACTAACAATACTTTATTTATTTATTTAATTTAAGTGCTTCAGCTTCGTAAATAACATGATGGTAGCCACACTTGTCACTCAGTAACTTTTCAAAGCTGTTCCTGATTTTGTAATTACTTTGGCAACTCCTTGGGTGTAAGAAAGGCAGAGAGAAGTTGAGATTGCTGAAGAATTGTGCTGAATTAATTTGAAATTACTAATTAAAAACATCTATGAAATCGGAGATTGGTGGCAGGGGGACCACTGCTAGGAACAAAAGAGAACAGGGAGTAAAGACTCCTTGTTCAGAAGGAATATGGCAGAATAAAGGAGCCACCTTTCTCCTGCTAATTGTTTCACTGCTGAATGCTCATTTACTCACCAATGTTAATTGTTTCACTACTGAATATTTGTTTACTCACAAAAGCTGGTTATTTTGATCTTCTCTGAGATTTGAACTTCTTGGACAGCCACACTCCTCATGGTGGCACATAAAGGACAGTGAGAGACACCAGAAAAATCTGGAACAAGGAGTGTTTCAATTGGATGGAAGGAGGAAAACAGAAGGTGGTAAAATTCATGGAGGTTCTCTGGAAGATCATTCTGGGATGTCTGCTCAGGCTAACAGAAAGCAGAGTTTGAACTACAGGAAGAGACAAAATGTTGAAGATAGTGAGTGACAGGTTGGCCAAAGAGCACAGTAAATGATCATTATCAAACAGGCCAATGTGGCTGCTTCTTGCATTGATAAACATATTCTTTATCAAAGGTTAATGCTTAACAGATGGCCCCAAGACACAGTAAATAATTTCTCCCTCCCTTACTTCCTACATAATTTATGAAGTACTTTCCTGATTCTTCTAAAGTATCACAAGAGTTCAGCTGTGCTTTTGCTTGTGGAGCAGCATAAATCATGAGTAAGTGCATCCTCCAGCTGATACCTTCCTTCACAAAAATAGAAATGTCACTTTTGCAGCACAGTTCCATAAAATTTCCCAGCAGTGAAACTGGACCTAAACACTGTGCTAAATGAATCTTGACCAACCGTGTCTGAATGCTGTCATCTCAAATGGCAAACAATAACATACATTCCTGTAGGCTGGCAAATCACAACACTTGCTCCTAAAAACATTTATTGAAACAGCCTTGCAACTTAATCCATGCAGTTTTTGCCAAAAGCAACATTTCTGTGGCAGTGTATTTCAATTTAAAGTGATATTCATAGACAGAGCAGGCAGGATAAACTGCTCCATTCAAATGTTTCCCTACACAATTTTCAGAGAATGAGGAATCCCTCTTTTTCAGGAATGAAGTATTCCCACTTGCTGCAGGTTATGAGTGTCAAAGGAGTTGACAGAGAGCTACATTTTCCTCTGGATATCAAAGAATATTGCTTCCAATAGCTCTGCTTTTATCTGTGTAGCAAAGTTATTAAATCCCCAGTCAGGAGACAGGACAGTTAACAAGTCACAACTTTGTATTAATGGCAATTTGGCCAGATCATGACACAAAATACATTTTGGGCCATTCTGAAAGGAATGCAGTTTACAGCCATGAGGCCTGAATCAAAGCCAATAATCTTGATAACATATGGGCTGCAAAAGCTTGTAAATGAAGAAGTGCAATGGTACATAAAGAAGTATTTGTTGCAAAAGGAATGTGTTTTCAACTGGTCTTCTCTCCTGCTACCTTCTGAAAGTTATACTGAGGGAGAAAAACTATGGCATAGAGGAAAAACACTTTATGTAAAACACTACGAAATGACAGCATAACGTAGGCATTAAAGACAATTAATCAGCTCACAGGAAGTAATTCATCAAAAGAAAAAGACTTTTGTTATTACTAACCATGATTTATGGACTTGGACTTAGGAATGTCCTTGCCTTTCATTATGTAAAATCTTGGTTCCAGCATTTTATAAATATCTTTTCTTACAGTGACATAACGGTTACAAAACGTTTTTGTTCCGTTTGCCAGATTTTTTTCTATCACCCAAAGAACAATTTTATCAATAGGACTTTAATCACTATGCATTAAGCGATTAACACCACTTTTGAGTGATTAACAAGACCAACTTTTAGGCATTGCAGTCTCCACTCCAAGATTTAGCCAGCTAGGAGGGATGGCTTTTAGAGAAAGCAGTATGCCACAATTTCAAACAGCATGTACTAGAACACTTCTTTAAATGAAGACAGCCTGCAGACATTTCACAAAGCTGATCTCTTTCTACATGGAATTTAGTCAGAAGCAGAAGTGTATGGAACACGTGAGACACTTGAAAGAAACAGCTGCAAGGTGCAAGGAAAGCCTCAAGTCTCATAAATAATTTTTAAAAAGTTATTTGCAGCGCCTTAACCTTCAGTATAGAAAAAAAAAAAAAAAAAAAAACTACATCAAAAGAAACTGAGACCTAAAATCCTTGGGTTCCAAATGTTTCAGAAACATTATGTAACTGTGACAGGAACATCTGAAGTTTGAAACAGAAAGGGGCATATTTAACCTTAAATTGTTTCAATCTCAAGTGTTGCTGGGTTGCAGTACTACCCTTAGCCAGACTGAAAATGAAGTTCAGGCCACTGGGGAGGTGGAACAAGTTTTTGTAGACACTTTGTTTTGAAGGAATTTCTAAAGATGAGCCTCTAAAACATTACAACAACAAGAATTTTCTCATTCCTGCACCACTGTTTGCTAAACAGAAAACAATACTGTCCTAAGGAGTATAAACCCCTAACGGAATCAAAGCAGCAGACAAATACCTGGCCTGGTTATGTGAGGCAAGAAGTGCAAGCAGTGTGTGTAAGGGAGCTCAAAAAGTGCAAGAAAATACTTCCTTATTTCCTGTTTCCAAAAGCATGCTGAGCAAACCTAACCCAGGCTAGATGGGCTGCTCTGAAATCTCAACTGGAAACGTCTGATTTAAACTTCACACACCTTAACTGACCAAACAAAAAAACCCTCCAAGCAAATACTGACATATTCAGGCTGTGCCCCTGACCCAGCAGCTGACAAAAGTATCTGTAAGGTCAACCAGCAAGTGTTGGAATAATTTCCCTAAAGTAATACTTAAAATACTCTTCTTCAATATTTGCACCCCTTTTTTCCTAAGTGGAAGTACAGAACAGTCCAAAGAAAAAGAAAGCTTCAAGACCTTGCACTTTCTGCCTTGTTTTTGGTAAAACACTTAGAAATAACACACAGGTTTTGTTACAGCCAGACTACTAATCCTGGAATATCCAGGTGTAAGCAGTGACAATATGAAGAAGCACACCTGGGAGGTCTGGCTGATTTCCTGGGGTACTCCTGAAGTCCCTGGCACCAGGAACAGACACATTTGTCACTTTCTATGTGCCCAGCATTTAAACAGAGACAGGTTTCTACCTTAAAGGAGAAACCCGCTCCTCACTTGCCAGAAAGTGAGGAAGAGGCACTGACAGCTCAAACAGAAAACCTGAGTTTGCTCTTCAGCTCCTTAGCCCAGCCAGATGTGACACGGAAAGGTGTGACACTAGGAAGGAAATAAACACTGCTGCAGGGTATGGCTGTGGAACTGCTAATCCCTCTCTTTCCCTAAAAAATGCCAGCCTTCATTTCTGTTTTCTGCAGCTTTCTCACCTTAATTCTCACCGAAGTTAATTTACAAGAAAAAAACAACAGAGGACTTTGACACCTACTTTGGTAAGCACAGGCCAAAACTAACCACATCACTATATCTGTCTGTCACCACAAGCTTTACAATTCCATCACCTTCCTCCAGGCAGTGACTGAATTAAATGCTTTTTAGTCTAACTGGGGGTAAGGATAGCTGCAGGACCCCATTCTGGAGGGGCTGGTGAAGGGATTGATCCCGGTTTAAAGCATCTACTATAAACCGCAGATTCTTTAAACATTTTCTCCCAGCTGTTCACTTGCACTCCTGTGCTCAGAGGGTGAGAACAGTTGCAGGGAATCTGTGCTACTGAGAATAGATCCACGGGGTACATATTCTAGGCTCTTTCTAGCCCAAGTAACCAGCTGATTTGCTCCAGCACAGCCCAAAAAAAAAAAAAAAAAAAAAAAAAAGCTGATGTCAAATTTAGAGTTTATTGATTCTCTAAAGAAGAACCGTAAAAACGGCACTTCCTGTGACACCCTGTAACCAGTGTCTTAAGATAATAGCATGCCTAATTTAAGAACCTTCTCTCGCTCTGCCAGCTCCACATCCCTTTCTGGAAACACGGCAATCCATCTGAGCTCTCCTCTGGCTGGTAAACAAGCGGCGGCCAGAGCACGGAGCGGCGCCGAGGCCGCTGCAGCAGCCGGAGCGAGGGAGCGAGGCCGGGCCCGGGCTCGGCGGAACCGGCCCGGGCCGCGCTCGGTGCCGCCCGGGAGCGGCTCCGGGCAGCCGAATCCCGGCCCGGGCCCTGCCTGCGGGCACGCCGGGCCCAGCGCCGCTCACCTTCACCCGCTTGCCCTGGATCTCCAGGCTCTTCATGGTGAAGTCCACGCCGATGGTGCTGCCCTGCCGCTCGGAGAAGGCCCCGGTCTTGAAGCGCTGCACCAGGCAGGTCTTGCCCACGCTGGCGTCGCCGATCAGCACCAGCTTGAAGAGGAAGTCGTAGCTCTCCTCGGGGTCGGGGCCGGCGCCCAGCGCGGCCACTCCGGGCATGGCGGGGCGCGCTGCGGCCGAGGGCAGCCGGCTCTGCGCGGCTCTGCGCACAGCGCCCGCCGGGCCCGCTCCGCCCGGCCTGCCCGGCCCCGGCCCCGGCTCCGGCACCGCCCCTGCCCGGCCCCGGCACCGCCCCTGCCCGGCTCTGCCCGGCACCGGCACCGCCCCTGCCCGGCTCAGGAACCGCCCCTGCCCGGTCCTGTCCGGCTCCGGCACCGCCCTGCCCGACTCTGGCACCGCCCCTGCCCGGCCCCGGCCCCGGCTCCGGCACCGCCCCTGCCCGGCCCCGGCACCGCCCCTGCCCGGCTCCGGCACCGCCCCTGCCCGGCCCCGGCACCGCCCCTGCCCGGCCCTGCCCGGCTCTGCCCGGCCCTGCCCGCCCCTGCCCGGCCCCGGCACCGCCCCTGCCCGGCTCTGGCACCGCCCCTGCCCGGCTCTGCGCGGCTCTGCGCACAGCGCCCACCGGGCCCGCTCCGCCCGGCCTGCCCGGCTCCGGCCCCGGCACCGGCACCGCCCCTGCCCGGCTCAGGAACCGCCCCTGCCCGGCTCCGGGACCGCCCCTGCCCGGCCCCGGCACCGCCCCTGCCCGGCTCAGGAACCGCCCCTGCCCGGTCCTGCCCGGCCCTGCCCGGCCCCGGCACCGCCCTGCCCGGCTCAGGGACCGCCCCTGCCCGGCTCTGCCCGGCTCTGCCCGGCCCCGGCACCGCCCTGCCCGGCTCAGGGACCGCCCCTGCCCGGCTCTGCCCGGCTCTGCCCGGCCCCGGCACCGCCCTGCCCGGCTCTGCCCGGCCCTGCCCGGCTCCGGCACCGCCCTGCCCGGCTCCGGGACCGCCCTGCCCGGCCCTGCCCGGCCCCGGCACCGCCCTGCCCGGCTCAGGAACCGCCCCTGCCCGGCCCTGCCCGGCTCAGGGACCGCCCCTGCCCGGCTCTGCCCGGCTCTGCCCGGCCCCGGCACCGCCCTGCCCGGCTCAGGGACCGCCCCTGCCCGGCTCTGCCCGGTTCTGCCCGGCCCCGGCACCGCCCTGCCCGGCTCTGCCCGGCCCTGCCCGGCTCTGGCACCGCCCCTGCCCGGCCCTGCCCGGCTCAGGGACCGCCCCTGCCCGGCCGGGCTGTGAGGGCTCCGAGCCGGGGTCGGTAGCTGCCGCGGGTCTCTGCCCCGGGAGCGGTTTTGGCCGCAGGTCCCTGTGTGGCGGTGCCACCACTCTGAGCGATCGTGTGTGAGGGTTCCTGATGAGGCATTAATGGGTGCCTAGGCGCAGGATTCGCACATGCCGATGTCGTCGGCATCCTCGCCGCAGTGACAGACTTGTGTTGTGTTCTGCTGGCTTTGAGCTTTCCTTTTACAGAAATAAACAGGTGCTGTTGCCGCTCAGCCCGCCAGGAAGCGCGGCTGGCTTACCTCGCTGGCTTTTCGCTTTCAGGTCCGAGTGGCGTGTGGTTTGTTTCCATAGGCACAGGGCTATGGTTTTGCAGCCTTGCGAGGTGCCGTGCTGCTGAGAGACGGCTTTGGAGCTGTTAACATCCAGCTACGTGTCTGACATGTGCACATGGATGTGTGTGACTAGTATATCACACACTGCTGCTGTGTATTAAGGTAAATATATCCCAAGAGTCTGGAATTACTTGTTTTAACTGCTATCTGGGTTATCTGCAGAGCAATGTGCTCTTTAATAGGTACTCTCCTTTGGGCTATGTGGAAAATCAAGATGCTTAGAAAAATAAGATGACTAATTAAATACATTGACACAGCACATTTTGTCATTCTGTTCTTTTTACCAAAGATCTGCTAAATTCCATCCTCATCGTTTCAGGTTATGAAACTGTGAAATTAAACTGTTTTATGGCAAAGAGTGAGAGTTAAATTTTCCCGTAGGTATTGTGCAGGAGGAGGGCAATCTGATTATCTCTCTGAGCCAGCATAGCCAACTAGGCCAGCTTGGCTTCAGTTGCCTCTGATCTAAGTCTATTTTTGGGTGGCTTCATGATTATTTCTTTTCAGGTCTGGATATATTTATTTGGTGATCCATGGTTGCCTTCCAGCCAAGAGCAGAGGTTTGAGTACTCAGTCAGGCTGGACCAAAGGCTTTATGTTCCTGCAGCCCTGAATTAAACAGGACACTGCATCCTTGGATATTGATCAGCCAGGACAGAAAAGGTGTTAAAGAGATAATAAGACATCACTGTGTGTATGCTTTCATGCTAATTATATTTTCCGAGCTGAGCAAAACACTTAGATTAGTTAGGAAGAAGCATTGCTAGAGATGTCAGTCTTTAATATTTATAAATCATTAGTTTTCCATTAAAATGACGGAATACAAAGGTGCTCTTTCTGTGAAGATAATTTAAAACCAGCTATTTCATTATCCTTGCTAGAGATCATTGCAAACATTTTTTTATTAGCTATTATTGTTGCTGCTTGCCATCACAAGCCTTTAACAGCTTGTAAAATAAAGAACTCCTCAAACAAAACCCACAAATTGTCACATTATATTGTTAGGCTTATGTGAGGGATCTGTGATAAGCTCTCTCACATTGTGAAAGTTCTGAGTAGTGGTTTGAGTGTTTAAATATTTTGTTTTCTTTGATTAATCCCCAGACTCCATTGGGGTCAACACCTCGTTTGTGCAAAGGCAAAACAGGAAAAACAAAATGGGTTTGAGTCAATTCCAATTTGTATCTGGCTGTATTTGAGGGTGGTTCATCAGAGAAGAGTAGAGAGTGCTAGAAACACTGTGGAGCAGTCTCTTACTTAGTACTACTGTAGCAGTACCTAGAAAACAGTACTAAAAGCTGTGAGAAAACCCCCTGAACTGGCCTTGGTCACAGTTTCCTGTTCTCTCTGTTGCACAGGGGAAGTGAAATTTTACCTTCACCAAGCCGAGCTGCAGAGCCCTGGGTTCAGGTGGAAGGTTGTTGGCAATTTCCACATTGGATTTGGGGGTAGGGCTGGGTTATGGTTCAGAGCAGCTGCTGGAGACTGGAAGTTAAAAATGAAAGTAATTGAGTTCTGACCTTCTAAATAATCATCTATGGTGATCTCAGATGAAACAGAAAAAACACAAGGGAGATCCTAAAATGTGTTCCCGCTCTCCTGCAGCGCTGGAGATGGAGCCAAGGGCAGGGGTTCCAAGAAAGTTCAGAAACTCTGTGAGGACACTGTGAATTTACTGAATTCTCTGCAGTAGCAAGCATTCATTTCCACTGGGGATGTGGAACAATCACCAAAATTATTCATGAAAACCAAGATGACTTGAGTTATGGCTTGGTGGGCACATTGTTTATACTGTGTTCCAAGAGAAATTTCCCAGCAAATTTCAACATTTTGTATTTACAATGCAGCCAAGTAGTTTGATGTGGTAGTGCTCCTTTTGTGGTACAGCCTTTCCTTGGTTAGATTATGGCTGAGAGAATGTTCAAGCATCTGTAGTTCTTGATATAATTTTATGGCCTGCTGATTTTACAGCTGAGTCATCTGGAATGGACTGAGTTCTTTCAGACAACAAAAGTACTGATATACTGTAATTTCTTTTTAAAGAGAACTATTTGTTAAATATTTAAAGATCACCTTTTATAATAAATATATATAATATATGCATATATACAATATATATAATATATATTATATATTATATATGAAAAAAACTACTTATTTCAGGTTTTTTGGTTGGGTTTTTTTTTAAAGTAATAAAACCATGTTCCCACACTCAGCATTACCTGACATAGCCCCATGGATTTGATGCATAAATTCTTACTCATGCACATTAAATCACACATACTCTGTGACTCTTGAGTTTCTGAAAGCAAACCGCTCTTGTACCAGTCTATAATATTTTTAATATTTAGAGCTTTCCTTCTTGAGGAGAGTACCTGAGTGTTTATATCTACAGGAGAGAGAGCATTTTGTCCTCTCTGTGGATGAGGTGTGGAGCTTTTAACCCACAAAGGGCTGACACAAATGGATGGGTGTTTTGAAGCCCATCACCAGTGAACAGATACTCCTGCTGTACAGGAATTCCTGCTGGCAGCCTCTCTTTGCCATATTTGTACTGTGTGTGAGCAGGAATTGGGGAGCAGCACATGGACAGAGATGTCTTTAGGGTGATTGTAAGAATTGTGTTTAATTGGGAAGTCCCACATTGTTACAGTGGGCTTTTCCTTCTGTGCTCTCCTCCACCCTCAACCCTTTGTCCTCTCGAGCAGCAGTGGTCCCAGCACTTGGAGGACTCCTGGAATCTCAGAAAGTGATGTCACTTAGCCCTAATCTAGCGGAACTTTTCCCTCTGCCTGGTGTCCTTTTTCCTGTAGTAGTGCAGGTGGCACCAGAACTGCTGAGTAATAAGGAAATTACTGACAAATGAACAGGGATGAATTCAGTCTCCAAAACTTCTCCAGGATTTGTACTGAGTACTCCTTCTAAGCCTGCAGAGCCTACCTTTGCTATGAGAAAAATAGAAAATGTCTTCCTCGTGGTGGCTCCTAGCAGTGAAAGAGTTTCTGTTCTGCAGCTGCTCAGCAAAGTGTGTGACACGCTCCTCGCCCTGCGCGGGTGTCGCCTTTGTTATCAGCCAAGTTCCAGAATAAGCTGGGAAGAACAAAAAAAATTATAATTATATTCATTGTATTCATGAAGTTTTCCAAGTTAGGCATTTTAAATGTTAGAAACCATCAGCTATTTCCAGTTCCTTTCAGATGACTTAGTTGTGGAGACTGGCCTCTTTTTTGTTTGAAATGCTATATTCACATACACAGCTTAATCATCTTCTGAATGAATGAAGCGCAAATCCTCCTCTGCTTGGCTTCTGCAGGCTTTTATCAATCTTATAGCCTTTTCTCCTTGTCTGTGCTCTGTAGAGGATGAAAGGCAGTCATTGCAGGGGTTTTATCTCACGGGGGGGTGAGGACACACACCACTCCAGAGCCATGCCAATTACAGAACTGATTTCTTAAACCCAGCTGGAAATCAGTCTCAGACACTAAAGAGTGGCTGATGAAACCAAACCCCTCAGTTTATTTGGCCAATCCTCACAGCCAGTCCCCTTGTTTTGGGTACCTGTGTATCCCTGAGCTCCTGGGGGACCTGCATCACCTTGTTGGAGCT